AAAATGTGGTTGTTGTGCACTGATAGACATGTTGATTCCAATTGCCATTTCAATCTTCTTCACTAGGACTTTGTTTATCCAACAAAAAATTACACCCCCAGCTAGTTAGTATCGAACTAGCTCTGATATCACTTATGTTTGCTATAATTTTAGCCTTTGTATATTTGTAATAAGTAAAACAAAGATAATGTAACTTAGTCTTTTGGAATAATTTTTCATACATGTTTTTCATATTTTCAACATACATATAGGTTGCAAGATACATCTTGACCATTCACTTTTCTAGACTATTAACTACATAACAAGACCCAAGACATAATCATTTGTATTCCCAAGTCAACTAGATATACTTAACAATAAAGTATTATCTAGTATTCTATTTTTAACAGTGTCACGTAAACCTAGTAAACCAATTCCTTTTTTTCTTCAATCTTCCCAATAGACTCGGACACACATTCTCTCTCTCTCTCTCTCTCTCTCTCTCTCTATATATATATATATATATATATATATATATATATATATATATGCCAATTCACTCCACCTACATGTTTGTCAAAAAGTTTGACTCTAAGTCTGAAACATTTCACTATGAAGGCCAAACTTGGTAAGCAAATAAACAGTCTTTATTTGTACACTTTTCTTGAATCCGCATCTTTTATATTAGCTAAGTTATGTTTGGTTTTGAGGCAACAAATTGATAAGGATTGTTATTGAACAATAGTCATTATCTAATTGGTTTGTGTTGCTTTTCAATTTGCAACTAAAGTATGTGGTGCAACATATGTAAATATGAGTTTGTAAGTCTTTTTCTTTGTGATGTATGTGAGATTTTGTGACAATGTGGTGATGTTGATTAACACTTGGAAATTAACCCACATAAAGAAATTAGCAGATGAAATATTTTTGTAGTTGGTATTCTAATTATGCTAATTATTTTAGACTAGTATTTGAGCATTACATCCAATTGAGCCACGATCAAGTGCTTCCTGAAACATCTTTCCCTACAAGATTAATTCAAAAAAGCATTAACAATTAGGTATAACATGCACCACTTCAATAGCTGCATCTGACATATTTAAGGTCAAAGATCGAGCATTTCCATTATGTATGGTACAACGATAGGGATCTATTATGGAACATACCGCATGACACTAATTAGAATTTAAATGTTAGATGAGACCCACTTGTAATCCAACACTTAGAATTAATTAAGTACTCAAATTAGATCCCAAATAAGGTGCAAATAGTATTTTCCTTATGTATAATTATTTGTATAAGTTAATTCAGAAAGCTAGAAATTCGCTTATCACCTTCAAACAGATGATGTAGAAGCATTTAAAATATTAGTGCCCAATTGTATTAACTCTTGAAATTTATGCTAATACTTTTTTTCGTTACCATGAATTATGGCTCCTTGGGACAATATACTACAACTTCATGGTGTTTTTATGGTACTTCAACTTTTAGGCAATGCATAACTGGGCTTCCAAGTGATGTTACCATTGAGATTGGACATTTGGCATTTCATCTCCACAAGGTGCATTTTGTTTGGATTAAGGTCAAACTCTTCAAATTAATTTGTTTTAGTTTTTGTGTGTGTGGAGTTATTCAACTCCATGCTTTCTAGTTCCTTTGTGCATGGTTTTCTTTTGTTGTTTTTCTTTCTGCCCATCTATTTTTCTCAATTCATTCAAACTGGTTGTGTAATCAGGTTGAAAGGTAAATTCTCCTCATTTTGACACATGATCCATTTTCCTTTGCTGTCAAGAAATGAGCTACTAGAAAAGCTTATAGGAGAGTTTTCCAATGATGATGGATCAACTTGTGTTTTGCAACTTCATGACATACCTTGTGAAGCTAAAACATTTTAACTAGTAGCCAAATTTTGCTTTGGTGTTAAAATAGAGCTCATTGTTTTGAGTGTAGAAAGCCTTAGATGTGTACCAGAGTACCTGCAAATGAGTGAAGATTATGGAGAGGGAAATCTCAATGGACAAACAAAGGCCTTCCTTAATGAAGTTTTTGGTAATTGGCCAAATACACTAAAAGCTCTCAAATCCTACGAAGAATTTCTACCATATGCAAAGGAGGTTCACCTTGTTTTCAGATGCATTAACTCTGTAACTCCCCTCCCACATGCTTATCTTTATATAACAAGTAATCACTTCTTTTTGGAAATGCTACTATTGTAAACCCTGGGTAAATATGTGCAATCGTTTGTAGTATAACTTGTACCAACTATGTTTGATATACAAATGTATGTTGTATAAGTTTGAGTTGATTATGAAAGGGTTTGGAATGGATTGGAAATGAAAAAAAATGGTGAAACAGACAATTTTGGGCAAAACCTACTGGTAGAACGGCAAAAATCTACTGGTAGATTACGAGTAGGCTACGGGTCGAACTTGTTCAGTAGGTAAAACCTACTGGTTGATTGCAGGTAGGTTACAGGTAGAACTTGTCCAGTAGATAAAACCTATTAGTAGATTATAGGTAGGTTACAGGTAGAACATTTCTAGTGAACAAACCTACCGGTAAGTTCATAAAAACCTACCGGTAGCTTTTCTAAAAATCTGAAATTTTAAGAATGCATTGCTATGCTTTTGGGCTATGTGTTCTTTGGTTCCAAGGGTATAAATGGACATCAAAGAGCATAAATTGTAGCAAGTTAGATCTCGGATGGGTCAATCGATTTAAAACCTTCATTAATACCAGTTCGGAGGAATAAAATAGCAATTTTAGTGTTTCGAATGTAAATATGCATTAGAATAAAGATAAATTATAAAACTAAATGTTTTTAGGTTAAAATAACATTAAAAATGAATCCAAAACGTCTAAAAATCTTAGGGTAGTCATAGAGATCAAATTAGAGATATTTAATGGCAAAACTGTAATTTTAGAGAAAAATGTAATTTTTGACCCTATGAACAGTAAAATTCAGGATTTCTTGGCTTTAAAGCACCACTTTACTCCCATTTTTTTTTCATTCTTTCACTCCACTCTCACCACAACTCTCTTAGAACCCTAGGGAAAGATTAGGGAAGAAAGAAAAGGGAGGAAGGAGGTCTCTAGAGCTTGGGCTTTACTTGGAACCTTTGATTCAAGGTAGGGGTTCCTTCCATTCTTGACCATTGAGGCTAGGGTTTATATGTATATGTATGTTTTCACTCTCATTTATATATATATATATATATGCTATGAAATCATCCTTTCTTGTTATTTTTGCAAAGATTACCATGTTTAAACAAAGCTAGGGTTAAATAACCATTAAAACTCTTTTCTTGTCATAAAACCCTAGTTTCCAAGATAAATGAATTTTTCTCTTGGTTTTTTCATTGTTCTTGATTTCAAAACTTTAGTGCTTTGTAATGAACAATAAAAATGGATTGTTGATGATCTCTTGCTTATTTTCTTAAATTGTTCTCTTGTAATACAACTTGTGAAATTTGAAAATTTTGAATTTCCTTGTGATTTGAGAAAATGTTTGTTTTTACATCTCTTATATGCTTGTTGTGATGAACTTGAATTGCATTCGAGCACTGCCAAAGAGTGTTAGAGGTTAGTCTATTTCAGTGGGGGTGAGATGGTTTCCTAACACTTGTAATGGTTTGTTGTTTGTGAGAGCAACCACTATTGTTCACGTAAATTCAAGGTTGAGGAATGGTATACCTTTCTTGAAAATGATTCGTCAATGTCGTGAGAGACGGTATACTTCTTTCCTAAAATGTTTGGGATTGTGTGATTGTGGTGGGTGAACGAGGTAAAGTCGTGGTATAGATTCATGAGAAGCAACCAACATACATGAGAATATGAGATGAAATTATTGAATAATTATTTAATTTCTATCACTCTGACATGCTTATTCCTTTCATTTAAATTATTGTTATTAGGTTAACTTGAGATTAAATAAATTGTCACTATTTTATTTCAAGTTATATATGCTATTTTGAAGTGTGAGACCAAACTGTTTTATATTTGTTTTTTCTAAAACTTGTTCGAATTTGGGAGGATGTTATTACAGAGCTTAGTGCTCACCCCCTACAAACAACATATTTTTTAGATTTTGTACAAGGGGAGGAGCTCAAAGTCGATGAGTTGGTACATTGGGAAGTTCCACTAGATGGACACGTGGATCCCGAGGTGGATGCTTAGGGTTATACTCTCCTATGTGATAGATTAGGAAATTTCTTTTGAGACTATGTAAAGTCTAACCTTTTATTATTCCACTACAAAGTTCAAATTTGATTCTGTTAGATGTAATTGCCATAGTTCATCATATTTTTTTAGATACAAGGGCCATGTTTGACATATTTTTTTGGGATGATATTGTAAATGTAATATATAATTAATGAAATTTTCTTTATTGATGAATTTTATTAGTTGCTCTCATGATGTGAATGGTTTTAGATAGTAATGCCGTCCAATGTGGCTTTTGGGGGCGTTACAAACTCTTTGGCAATGAAAGCTTGTGCCAATCCAAGCTTATTTAATGACCTATGTCAGGGTGTAATAGTACTAAGAACACAACAGACACTATGTTATGGAATGGAATATCTACTACAAATAAGCCACACCCTACAAGTGATTATTGGTGGTTTGAAGATGTGTTTTTCCTTGGTTTACCTCTCTATAAGTGACTGATTGACGTTGTTGCATCAAGAGACATGAGGGCTGAGAACATTGCTGGCTCCCTCATTTTTTATGCCAAGAAAAATATTCCCTTGATGAACAGGAAATTAGATGCCAAGGATACAACAAACCAAGTTAAAATTGGGACAACTCTGTCCAGCCCTTTTGAGGCAGATGAAAGGGCTCTCCTTGAAGAGATTGTGTAGTTACTTCCCAATCAGAGATTAGTTACACCCACTAACTTTCTACTCAGGCTGCTCCGCACTGCTATGATCTTGTAGGCAAGTCCATCAGGCAGAGAAAATGTAGAGAAAAGGATTGGAGAATAGTTGGACCAAGCTGCATTGGAAGACTTGCTAATACCAAACATGGGTTACTCGGTAGAAACCTTATATGGTATAGACTGCTTTCAGAGGATTCTTGATCATTTCATATCCATGGTCTAGGATATGACTGTAATTTCTCCATGTATAATTGAAGAAGGGGCTGACTCACTAAGATCAATAACGATGGTGGCAAATCTGGTGGATACATATCTTTCTAGTGTGGCTCTAGATGTTAATTTGAAGTTCCCAAAATTCCAGACACATGGTTCTGCTATCCCCGATTATGCCAGACCGCATTCTGATGGCATTTACTGTGCCATTGATATATACCTGAAGGTAACAATCATTCTAAATCTTGTTTATTTTCTTCTTGTAATATATGCCAATGCATTAGGAAGAATTGTGTGTTGGTGGAGAAGAGAGGAAATGCTAGGATTTGTTGGTTGATTGTATTTTATTTTTTTTGGACCGAGTGGGTTGATTGTTGTGGCCACGATTCTGGTGTTTTCTTCGTTGACTTATTGATAGTTTCTCATTATAAATTACACAATTTATGACTTTATATGCTCATTGTAACAAAATATTTTGCTGTCGTGATCTTCATTGTCATACTATGAATAAAAACATCATCTCCCTCTTTTCTCCTATGCAACTAGGTTGCCACTGTAGCTGGTGAAACAAGTGTTTGTTTATTTATTCATCGTGTCTTTCAGGGATTTTGGAATTGAAATGAAAAAACTTGGCTCTAACTAGTAAAGATGTTATTATGAGCATGCTAACACCGTTTTTAATTTCAAACGCATCCTTGGCTCACAGACTCTGAGCGGGAGCAAATTTGTAGACTTATGAACTGCGAGAAGCTTTCATTAGAAGGCAGCACCCATGCAGCACTGAATGAGAGGCTACCTCTCAGAGTGATTGTCGATGTCGTATTCTTTGAACAACTTAGACTTCGTACTTCAATCTCTGGTTGGTTTTTCGTCAATGACAACCTTGAGAACTCTCAAGATCACAGTGGGGTCCTTGCACTGTCCAACAATAGTAGGGACACTGCACAAGACAGAGGATCAGGCATGAAATATATGAAGAAGCATGTTTCCGAGCCTGAACAGGTGTGCCAGAGCATGAAGTAGGAGATTCAAAAGCTCGTAAAACAAGGAGAAGTTGGAACATTTTTTTGCCGATGAAAGTCACAGCATTACCAGCCTAAGGTATCGAAGCCATGCAATTTAAAGGCACTGCTATCCTCTGTTAATGAGCGACCTACTCTTGAAAATGGTAAGTTGGGCAGTTGAAATTTTGCGGCTTAAACTATTAGGATAATATGTATTTTCCTCTTTTGATTCTATTTTAGCTATTTTCACTACTTGAGGATCTTTTTCTTATTTAATTAGCGGTCACAATTCTATGTTATTGTTGGATTTTGTGTTGATTTCTTTAATTGATGATTGATTACAAATTGCTGCTTATTACAGAATCTGTGCTTACATTGAAAGAGCCACATGAGAACAACAATGAGGATTCGTGTACCCATTGGAATCATTTTTACATTTTTAAGAATGGCTTTTCCGCATGTAGGGTAAAATTGAATACCCTAGCAGCGGGAGGCTCATACACTAAGCTGCCCTTTTAGGAAGTAACATGACTAGCATTCTGGCAATGTTACTGGATTCGTTTTATGTTGATATATATTTACTAAATTGTTGTGAGTTTTGATTGCACTATTTTTCAACTTAATTTTGACTATTGAGCTAGGTGTCCTATACTCTTTTGGCAACTGATGACCAAATTTTACCCTCTATTTTTTTAAGGTGTAGCCAAAACTAGGCGTGGGCTCCGACTGGAGTCATAGGGGATTTTTCTAACTCCAACTCTGAAATAGAATGAATCCACATGAAGTTTCAGAGTTGGGCCGATCTCTATTGGATTTTCTTATGTGTTTTTTCAAACTTTTTGGTGACATTTGGGCCAATATTTTTTTTGGCATTTGGACTAGTTTCTAAATTATATATAGGGATTTGAACCAAATTTTAGATAGGAATTTTAAATTTTCATATAATAATATATTATATGATTATGACATAGGCTCCTAGAGCCAAATTCGGTGTCGAATTTTCCAATTCTTGCACACCCTTAGGCAGAATCTTGGATAAACCATTTGATTAGTTTACTTTTGGCAGATTTGAAAGTCGGTATAAAAATTTGGACTTAATTGAGTTAAACTACATTACGATAACTTATTTGGCTCTCAGTGCAATTTTTTGGTAAAAGATTAAAGGTCATTCATTCTTCCATTACTCTCTCTCTCCTCCTCTCTCTTCCCTATTTTCACACTCTCTGTTTCTATCTCTATCTATCCCCTATTCTCTTTCTCTCTCTCTCTCTCCTATTGATATTTTATTTTCTTTTTCAAATATGTGAATATTTGATTTAATTTTTCATCTCTCTCCCCTATTTTCTCTCTCTCACGCTTTCCCTATTTTTTCTCATCGTTACTTTTTATCTCCTTATTCTTTCTCTCTCTCTTTCCTTTTATCAATATTGCAACAACACAATTGTATCAATCAATTACACCAATTAGTTACAATTACTCTATGATACACTAAACAGTTACTCATGTATTCTAATATCTCAAACAGTTACAGTAAACAAATACACAAAATTACAACACTAACTCAATTTCTTATTAATTTGTTTATATAAATCAAAGTGTTACATCATTTAGTATTATGACATAGTTACACCAAATTTAGTGTAATTGTGAACTCTATGGTGCAATGGTGAACCTAATTTGCTATATATAATTGGTGTAACTATATTGTAATACTAAATGATGTAACTTTTTGATTTATGTAAACAACTAAATGACAAATTAGTTGATGTCATAATTTTGTATAATTGTTTGGTTTATCAAAACATATGAGTAACTGTTTAGTATATTATAAGACAATTGTAACTGATTGGTGTAACTGTGTTGTTGTAACATTGATATAAAGAGAGAGATAATAAGGGAAGAGTGTAACGGTGAGAGAAAATAGGGGGAGAGAGAGAGAAAGAGAGAATACGAGAGAGAAAGATGAAAAAAAATCAAAACTTTACTTATTTGAAAAGAAAATAAATTATCAATGAGAGAGAAAAAAATATGAGCGATATAGAGAGAGTAATGGAGAGAAAGGAATAGTGAGAAAATAGGGGAAAGAGAGTAATGGAGAGAGAGGGAACGAGGGAGAGACAAAGAGAGTAACGGTGTCAGAAATAGGAGAAGAGATAGTGAATGAATAAAAATTATGTATGGAAGGTAAGTAAAAAAATTCAAATGATATTTGAATTTTGTACCTAATTACAAGAAATTTTATTAAAATTGAACTTAATAGAATAAAATAATTATTCATACATTTTCTCTCAATAAATATAAAAAAATGTATTTACACCCAAAAAATCTTGTTTGTGCTCGGCTCTATCCAACATGTAGTGGTCATTGGGTAGCCCGATTGCCCCTCAGTATGTGCATAGACTAATTTTGGCCTGTTAGACCCAACGAAGGCTTAAGAAGTTGGATGGTTAACCTAGTTTAACAAAAATTGAAAAGGAAAATACAAAATACAAGACAAAGATAGTTACCAAACAACTCCTCAAATTTTAAACAATTCAAATGATATTGAAAAACGGACAAATTAGAACTGACACGATGGACACCTCGCTTAAAGCTTACTAGATCTAAACCGATGGACTTGCAGAAAATAATGTTCTGAACCAATGGGCCATAGCCTTCTGGGCAGGTTTAAGGTCTGGCCCATTTAAAAAACAACGACTCTGCTGCCAAACCTGTGGCCCACCACGGTTCATTGACCTGCTGGTGGTTCCTTATTTTTTTCACCTTGTCCCACGTTTCAACATCATTTTATACATTCTTCATGGCTCCCACACTTGAGTCCAACCCAGAAACCCATCAAGTGGAATTCTCAACCACCAATTCCTTTTTGGGTGGTGCCCATCACTGCAATGAACCACATCTACATGTGATCTGAAAACTGGGGACCGAAGTTAGCTATCATATTGTTCTAACAATGTCCATGGCACATGGTCCTCTCTTCCCTGCTGGTGAATTGATAGTAAGTCACCCTCGTAAACATGTGTCATCGCCCCATTTGTGGGGCCATAGAAGGGCCACCCTTGTCTCCCCAAATCTGCAGCGAAAGGCCCCTCTCAATCAGCTCCAACTTCAGCCTCTTTCGGTTACCTGTGGTCGGTTGGATCAATGTTGTCCAGTTGCCTGTAGTTCAAACCTCAACAGCAAACAGGCACTTGAAATTGGTTGAAACATGTCTGTTGGAACCTCTTCATTCTCTTAATCATTCACACTTTGCCTATTCCTTTTTTTTTAATTTCTAAGCATGACTCTAGTTGTTTCTCTTTCAGTACTAGAAAAAAAAAAGCAACTTGTTGCTTGAGACAATTGTAATTAGAGGTCTAGAGAGTACAAAATGTACAAACCCGTACCCTGCATTAAGAGAGGGTGTTTATGTAACTCAACCAAATGATTTTTTGAACATGGAACTTACTGTTATAATGGAATACAGTTTCATTCAAAATGATTTGATGGTTTAGACGGTTCCACCTACAACATTTAGCATTAAGTTTGGTCAGTATAGCATTACTCTTACACAATTTTGTTGATGCAAAGCTATGTGATGCAATCTATTAATTGCTAGTCACCATAACTCTATTTCAAAAGAAAAAGCAACATGAGACAGAAAAAACAGTTAAATTATCATATATTAGAGAATTTCATATGCATCTGGTGCTTACAGCTCAAGCGAAATCAAACTTCCAAGCAAACGGAATATTGAAGTTTCACATATTTTAGGTGATTTGCAGCAGTAATTTACAAAAAAAAGATTTCCCCCAAATCAAAAATCTAAGATCTTCAAGTTAGCTCTATCACCTGCCAAATTTCTATCTAATAAGCTCTTCTGCTCAGCAACTCCTTTTTCATCTGGAGATGCCATATTTTTTAGGGTAGCCAAGCTGCTCGATCTCCCAGCTCAACTTTGAAGCAACTCTTTCATGCCGAGGGACATAATCCTGTTACAAAAGATTGTAAACGTAAATAATTAGAATTCTTTTTTCCACATAGTTTACCATCGTAACGATAAATATGATGAGACAATGTTCAGAAACAAGTATACAAATAGGCGCACAGATATATATATATTCAAATCTGCTAAGCATGATTTAAGTGTTTAACATTGATTTAAAAAGTCTATGCATCATATTATAGTGTGCTGACGAGATTAATTGATTTTAGTTGTTGCAGAGACTTGTATGGTACTCTTTAATGGACGGATGGGTGCATTTAAATGCAAAGGAAAATCATCTCCAAGTCATTTCCAGATGTTTACTAAATCTTTTTGAGGTCAAGAAATATCATAACAAACAGAGTGATCTTTATGCAGGGCTCCTCGTCTTGAGTTATATGCAGAAATTATCTAAAACTGAACAAAGCAATTTCACTCAGATATACTACTTCAACAGAAAGATCATTTGTGAATGTAAGAGTTCGTTTATTATTTCCCTTTCTTTTCTTTTACTCGATGATTACCTCTAATTTCTTGACCAACTCCTTTGCAGTTGGTGCAGATATAATGATGTGGCGTGCACTGGGACTAATGAAGCCTTCTTCCACAGCTTTGTCAATAAATAACAGTAACGAATTGTAATATCCGTCCACATTCAGCAATCCCACCTGCAAAATGTAAAATCATAGCTTCTTAGTTCTAAAATGGGTTCAAGAGGTTAGCTACCTCAGAAAACTACAGCGCTATTTCGCCTCAAATCTTGATAGTGAAGAAATAAAAATTACCGGTTTGTCATGAATGCCAAGTTGAGCCCAGGTTATAACCTCAAGTAGCTCCTCAAGAGTGCCATAACCACCTGCACATTGGGCAAAGAGGAATTTCTAACTTAAAAACAGATACTATTACACATAGCCTAACCTTACAGATCTTCACCTCACTAAAACCATGAATGGTAAAGTTTGTCCTCAGATTATTTTAGTTAATCGGGCTGCAGTTGCTTTATCTACAACTGTTGGAGAAGAATGACAGTAGAAGGGTAAATTATTACTGGAACAGTAACATCCAAAGAATGAAAGGAAGATCCGACGGCATTCGCTAACAAGACATCTAGTAACTAATGCTACATTAAGGAGGAGGGGAGAAACACAGATTCCTACTACTGCAAGGGCTTACAACATTGGCTAATCATTTTTACTAAATGATGGTAAAAAGGACGATTCAACTGTCTGTTCTCTTTGTTTCATTTTGTTTCATTTGAAAATTGTTGTAAACGTACCTTCAGAACAAATATATCCCTTAACTGTTGCTTAGATGGTCATAGTTACTTTAAAATTAAATGAAAAGTTAGTCCCAAGCATTTTTCATTTCAAAAACATGGTATTTATTGCCCCCATTTCCTGTTGATTCAGAGACATAATCTTCTGGCAACCCATTCAGATCATAATGTCTCATGCTAAGTTGTATCATGATAATTTACAAAATTCATTTATTGTCTGCAACTGTGAAGAAATGAATAGAGGGTAATCCATTCTGAGTAAAGTGACTGGTCTAAACTCAGGAGGATGAGAAGTCCTCGAAAGGAGTGAACATGATTGCCTGTCGAAGGCAGGTGCTAGTTGGCAAAAACAATTTGGGGAAAGTATATGCTTATTCTTTTCCTCAAAATGGTAAGAAAAAATTGGTACATTTGCATCAGAGGCTATCATTACATTGACAGGAATATAATTACACAAAAGTTAATGTTATGCTTACCAAATTTTTTTACAAAATCTCCATCCCAAATGACGTAGCACAGTTTTTCACCATCACATAAGTGAGTCTCATTAATATTCAATGACGAAAATTATGCCACATCATTTGGTATGAAAAATTTGGTAAATTTTTTTTTGGTAAGTATAGCATTTTCCTTACACAAATTGGGTTATGCATAACTAAAAGCTCTGATTTTCGGTGCAAGATGTTGACTGGTCAACAACTAGGGTTTGAAGGGATGCTCTCTAATCATGGGTCTTGAGGTTTGTGAGACTTGAGATAGCTGTGATCACTTAGACTTCAAACAATTGCTTTCACAGTATTATCAATACCACATTTAGTATCAGAATAAAAAGCAACAAACAGAAAGCTTTAGTAATTAATTTTGCACAATTTTCAGGACAAGTTCAATGTTCCCCTTTTACAATAGCCATTCAAAAATCACCCATTATTTCCTTACAAGTTCAATGTTCCCCTTATTTTGTAAGGAAAAGTCAAGATAATCTCCCCCTTTGTATCCCCCACCCTTTCCCAAATGAATGAGAAAAGTAAAAAAATCACCCATTATTCCTTATCATTAATGTCTCTTCAACCTAATTTGCTAACTTAAATGTAATGTTGTTTTTGTATTTACGGCGTACTCCATCACCGATTGAGATGTGCTATTAATTCAATAATAGCTATGGATAGAGCAATGAAATATATCAACAAATTGTCTTCTTTCCCCAGTAGCCCAATATTAATTCTCTTCACTAACAACTCTGACAACAATACACGGATGTTTGTTATAATAAAATCAAGATGCTTAGCTTCGCCAAAAGGTTTTTGTTTTTGTTTTTATTTCCTTTCTCGTTTGGTTATGGTTTCACAGCTGAAGTCAATTAGACTGCAAGAAAAAGTCTAGATCCTAAACAAAGCTGGCAAAATTCAACACATTGATTCTATGTGTTTTGACTGGAGGACAATAAGCTCTTGATTTTGTTTTTCTATTCAGTTTCTTCATTTGCACTGAGAGACCAAGGAATAATATACTGAGAAGGTGGCCTTTTGTGACCTCTGAAAGGAATCAAAACATAAGGGGCATGATCTTGGATGCTGGAATTAGAAAAATAACAGCACCTGAGGGACTGTGTATTTTGTTCATTTTCCTTGAAATTCTAGTGCAACGGTGAGGAATTTTTCAGAATTTGTACGAACCTGGTAAGGCAATAAAAGCATCCGAGTGCCTAGCCATCTCCGCCTTCCTTTGATGCATATCTGCAACTGCCTTCACTTCCCCCACTGTTTCACCAGTTAACTGCAAAAGGGGTACCAAAACCCCAAAAAAAATATTTAAAAAACCTTAAATATGTACACGCAAATACACACACACACACACACACACACACACATATATATGTGGAGAGAGAGAGAGAGAGAGTGAAATTTTGTATGGTGTGTTGTGCACTTGTGCAGTGAAGCAATGATTAGGCTTGCGGGATGGTGGACTTAATCCGAAAATCTGTAAGTCAGCAACTCCAGAGCCGGTGCCCAGTAGTTCATATACAGAAAAGTATGTGTATAATTAATTTGGGTCACAGAAAAAGCCAAGGAAGAAAAACACAGAAGAGAAGCACTCCATCCTTAACAGATCAAAGATGAAACAGAACAGGAAAAACAAAAAAATCAGAGAAAACATTTGAAACTCAAAAAACATGTAGAAGTGAAATGAAACTCCAGCCGCCGCCCCCCCAAGTGGCATTATAGGTATGACTAAGAAGCATTGATAACCCAGAAGAAACAAAGTTTTGAGAGTCCCCAAAAAATCAAAAGTTAAAAAGTCAGAAAATAAGTATTAAAAGTTAATCAAAACTGAGGGAGCATAAAATGCAAAAGGGGGAGATTTGACAAGAATGAAAGGAAGACAAGCAAATTAAATTGGTGGGGTTGCTTACTTTCTTAATTTAATAAGGAAACGACCCAAGACTTTCTCTACCATAGCAAACATACCTCTCGGGGCATGAGCGTCTTGGGAATAACTCTGCAGGGAGACAATAACATGACAAAAATTAGTTTTAATGGAGAACAAAAGCACCCATAACTAGAGATTTGAGGACAAACTTGAAGGATTGGAAGAGCAGAGAGTGAAAGCAGCTCACCCAATGACATGCCGACCACCATTGTGAACAGCATGTGAAACCAATCCCATTAGACCTATACTGCCCCCTCCATAGACCAAATCAATGTTCCTTGAGACCTACAATAGACCAAAGTCAGAAGAACGCTGAACATATCTGAGTTGAGGATTCAAACATGGGTATGAGATTAACCCATGTTAAATTTTAGTTCCCGATAAGAGCACATTTACGGCCTTTATGGTAGAATGGTTTTCCGAATATCCAGTCAACAAATAGATAAATGTTAGTAAATTTGAAGGGAGAGATGATAAAGAGAGGTGAACTTTGGAGATGAAAATAACCAGAAATATATGTATCCCAGGTGGATGTAAAGCATACAAGCTGCAAAACATATTTTTCTATTTTTGAAAAGGCAAAACTTGAACGAGGAATGTGACTAAAAACTTGAGCCTCTATCAGAGAGAGAGAGAGAGAGAGAGAGAGAGATGAAGAAATTAACATGCAAATACTCTTGCTTGAACAACCTCAAAAAGATCACATTTACATGACATATGAAGTGGCAAGCCCAAAACTCCACATGCACAAGCCAGTGAACCGACTTCCAAATAAATTGAACATATTGTAATCAACTTTTGATTGACTCAAGCAAAACTCATCTCGAAGCATATAAAAGCCATTACCAAGACCATGTTCCAACAAAACCCATTTGACAAAACACTCATTTAACAAGAACCCAAGTATAAAAGTGCCATATAACTCATTACATTTATAGGAAACAAAGCAAAACAGAGCAAAAAGGGGTCATTGTTCACAGGGGAAGCAATACCAATTCTTTGCCAAGCTCTATAGCAGCATCTTGATAGCTAGTCTTGTTGCCTTGGCTACTCCCACAGAAAACACAAATCCTCTTGAATTTTGATTGCTTCATTTCGCAGTCTCTCTCCATTTCTCTCTCTATCTCTCCCTTTTTTTTTTCTCTCTCCCAATATATATTTGTCTCTATCTATATGGTTACAAATTAGACTGGCTTAGGAAAAAAAAGTAGAATCTTGATTCGTTACTCTACCGTATATACGCTAAGCCTAATGACCTACATCTAGAGAAGGAGTGTGCCACAGAAAAAATACAAGTATCAAATGGTAGTCCGTTGGCTTCACCACTCTTCACTGCCTCCACAACATGCCTCTATTTATAAGGGCAATGGCACGTGAGTGGCTAGCACGCCTATATTCCTGCTCTCACTAGCACGTGTGGACACATTTTTTTATTTTTTTGTAAATAATGAACACTAATTTTCGTTCTTCTTTATTTGCTCAAAAATGAATTTGAGATGGCCACCAAGATGTTGAGCATATCAGATATCAAAGGTGAAAAAATATTAATGTGGAAGAGTATTTTCGAGATCTGTGAATATATTCGAGAGTTCAATAAACTACGGTCTCTTCGGTCAATAAAAAAAATGAGACTTCACCATTGTAGAACATTTTTTTTTTCTGCAAAAATATGATGAAGATAGGACACTTTATTAAGTAAGCTTGTGGTTTCAAAAGCAAGGGAGTTTAATGGTAGTAAAAATTACAATTCAATCATATCAAGTAATGACTCAAACATGTTAAGGTATGATTCAATGTGATCGAATGAGAGTAAAAACTTAGGATTGATCTCAAATGTTTTGGTCTCATTAAGTTGGCTGTAAATTATCTGATATTTTTTTTATACCGAGTCTGCATTTCTTCTCCCCAAAAGAGAATGCCTTTTCTTTACTGTAACACATCAACAGGTATTGAAGCTGTCCTTATTCTTAGTTTTTGCCCTGTGTGTGTCTGCAACTTAAAAAGATTAGCACCTTTCCGACTGAAAAAGGGTGAAAATGTACATGGTGACATACTGATATGGGTGTTTTCTAATTTGTCCATGCGTAATACACACAAACACGCACACACACACATATATATACATAATGTTGTATGGGCTTATTTATGGGTAACTTCAGAAAAATGAGATGGTGCCATTGAGCATTGTGCATTAATGATTGAATAAACATGTTGGTATTGGCCTCTCAACCTGTACCCTCATCCACCCTCCCTCACTAGACACAAATGCTGTATTTACAGGAAACATTTTATTTTTATTTCAGCCCCCATTCCCTACCCCATATCACTTACACCAAGCATGCTGTCCCCAACCCCATTCTTCCTAACTGCATTGCCTCCTCTCCTCAAGCACCCTCATTATATTTTAATTTGTGCGGAGATAAGTCCATGCAAAGGGTCACCATCTCGTACGGATAGAAGGGTGGTGGAGAAGCCTTAGTGAACCTGCAAGACAAGAGAACACCTCGGTGAACCGATAGCCAGAGGTGGCTAAAGAGACTCTGATGCTTAAGTTAGCAAGCTAGTCGAAGAAAAATATAGAGTAAATAGGCTGGTCTCGAAATCCTAACCTAATACCCGGAGCCTTTATTTATAGTAGTAGGGAGAAGTGTCCCACTAGAACCCAAAATCTTGGGTTTTTGGCTTGACCTCATCATCAGGTTCTAGAAATTTGGGGTTGAGTTAGACTAGAACTCTTGGTCCTCAGTCCTTATCGCTAGCCCCTTGTTACTCAGAGTATCATTTCACTTAGACTCTAGCTTCTTGGTTGATCCTTACTGAGTGAGACTTATCTTTAGTTGCCTTTGGTGCAAGGTATGGACAAAGATAGACTTGCCCAAGTCTCTTATTAGTTGGAAATACCTTAGTCCTTACTAGCTGAGTGGCATGAGCAAACCTCCTTATGTTTGCTTAGTGGAGCCCCAACTGAGTGGTGTGAGGTAGGTCCTTAGTAGGAGAAGGCCACTTTTCCTAGTGGTGTGAAGAAGGTCACTTTACCTAGTGGTAGTAGCAGAAGGCCACTTTGCCTAGTGGTGTGAAGGAGGTCACTTTGGCCTAGTGGTAGTAGTAGAAGGCTCCTTGCTTGGCTTAAAGGGGCCTTTAGCTGAGTGGTAGTAGGTGAGGCCTCCTTTGCTGAGTGGCAGTAGTAGAAGCCTCTTTTATGCCTCACAATTCCCCTCATACCTCAATTAACCTATTTTTATTAATTGATGTATGTGTTTGTTTAACTCATTGGTAGCGAGCTTAATTTGCCTAGAGGACTAGGGCTTTAGTTGCCTATGTAGCTTAGGGCTTTATATATACTTTCTCCTTACTTCATTTCTCACATCACTTCGAAGTTTGGCTAAAGAGAAGAAAGGAGAGGAAGCTTGGAGCCTTGAAGAGCCGCTTGCGCTGCTGTCATTTGTTGAAGTCGTCACCACCCAAAGATTACCTTCTTAAGGAAAATATGCAAATTTTTACGAGTTTCAAGCATGATTCTTGGATTGAACTTCACCTTTTCGTATAAATTTTTGAATGTTCTTCATGTGTTCTTTGTTTTTTCTTTTTGATTCATTGTCTTGAAAATTTCATGACCTTGTATGTTTGTAACTTTGAATGGGGGGTCGTACTTGGGTGTTGAAAATGTTGGGTTGGCAAGCCAAGGCATGTGCCTCAATGGCCAGCACTTGAGTTGCTGGGAGGTAGAGGCGAGCCCTTGAGTTTGCTGGCTGGTAGTATGTGACCATGGCTTAATGACCTTAGCCTCCTTTTCCTTTTGAATCCCCTTGATTGATCTTGAGTCCCCTTTGATTGTTTTATTTACTCATGTTTATCTTGTAAAGCTTGAACTATGGGGATCTACCAGAGCTTGATGGCCGACGAGCAATCCATAGTAAGGTTCAAGGAGCGTTGAGGTGAAAGCAACCAAAGGGAACATGCCTGTTTTCTTTGATGGTTGGTATAAGCGGCCAATTGTTGCTATAGTTGAAGGAGGAGTCAGATTCCTTCTTCCCGACTTTGTGAGGGAGTTCTTGCACTTAACAAACATTCATGCAACTCAGCTTAGTGTCAATTCCTTTAGAATCCTTGGAGGATGATGAAGCTAGTTGAGTTCCATAGTGTTCAGATTTCTTACTGGGAGGTCTTGCCTTGTTATTACTTGAAGTTCTTTCCAAATTTGGACCATAAATATTGCCTCTTGAGTCGCAAGAATCCCTAATTCATTGCCTAGCTTCTTCGCCTAAGGGTTATGAAGATGAGTTTGTGCTAGTCAAAAGGGAATGAGAGTATGGTCCTAGATTAGAGGGTGACACTCTATGCCCTCAAACTATGGGCAAGCTAGGTTAGCTACTTTAAAATCTCTAGTTTTTACTTGCGAGTCAAATATTTGGTATTATGCTAACCCTTTTTCTTTTTCTTACCTCTGTAGTGCCTCTTAATCCTCAAGTGGTCAAGAAGCGTCACGACATCTCCGTTATACAATCCTTGTTCGAGGCCTAAGGGGGTCTTGTATTCGGGAGTTTTGATTGATCCATTCCTGTATTGGTTGGTTTTTCCCCAATGTATTCTATATTTAGTTCTCTTCCTCCTGACATCTCTTTTGAGACCGCTGCTAAGTATTTTAGGTCAGTGAACTTTTATTGAGAAATGAGTCGTGTCAGGAAGACGATCCATGGTAGAGGGCTTGGGTACAATATCGAGGACATGTCTAAGCCACCAGTAGGGTTTAGTGAGCACAACAGCAAGGTAGGGTAGGAGCGGGTGAGGAAGCTCGTTCCATTGGTTGTTTTCCTTGACTTAGCATTTTGCTATTTCTTCTTTTTCTAATACTCTTGAATTATAGGTAAGAGAGATGACTTTCCCAGAATACACTTACATAATGAATTGGACGAGGATGAGCCCATGGTTACTAGAAGGAAAGGCAAGCTGCTAGCCCAAACTGCTAGGGAGGGGTCTACCAGGAAAGTGAAATATGTTGCTAAGCGGGCTCGAGGATCTAGCCTGAATATGTCGTAGGGATTGACATTGAGGTTCCTAAAGGTGACAACTCAGTTTTCTAGGACATTAAGGTAGTTAAAGCGATAAGTGATAGTGCTGTACTTCCAAGAGATAAGGAGAAGGTATCAAGGATGACACCGACTTGTTTGGTTGACTCTCTACATCAGGCATCTCTTGTGGTGAGCTTTCTTCTAAAACCATCAACTTAGTTTCTCCAAAACTTTAGTTAACCCATAATTGTCTGTGCAGAGCTCCTACCTTTCATATGAGGTAGCTTGCTACTATGAGTAGTTCGAGCATCAGACAGCCTTGGTAGAAGAGCAAAGTAGAGTGAAGGCTTTCCCCTTTGCAGTAGGAGCTTGCTACATCGAGGAGGGAGGCTATTGAGGCTAGAGATCAAGCTAGCTCACTTGGTGAAAAGATTGTAGCATCAAGGAGGGAGATGGTTGTGATAGAGCCGCGGGTAAAGAAGGCTTCCTGTAACCACTACATGGGCATCATAAAGGTGGCCATGGACAAACATGCTAAGCAGAAGAATAAGATCTTCGGGAGTGGTTGGCGAGGAGTGCTCATGGCAGTTGGAGTTGACAGTACTTCTTCAACCTGAGAAGATGTTCCTTGACCTGAAGCTAACCAAATATTTCTAGATATAAAAGGGTTATACTTTAATGACGGCGACTCTTTTGATGGAGTCAATACCTAGCTTTTAATCCTGCATTCTAGTGAATGAACTATCTTCAGATATTTTGAATATGTATGAACTAAGTCTGAATGCTTTCTTATGTGTATGAACTATCTTCAGATGTTGTGGATCTTTTATCCAATAATAAAGTAATTGTTCCCTTATGCTTGTATGTGTATTCATTCTTAAGTTGTATTGCTTACAAGTTTGTTGTTGCTTACTGAGCTACCTTATTGTATAAACGCCTTAGCAGACATAAGCAAACTTGCTTTGAAGGTGAGTTGCCTTTAGGAAAGGTTTAGTGAACAGGTTCCTTAGGCTATAGAGAGAAGGCTAGGTTGCCTTTAGGTGTAACCGAGAAGGTAGCTCTTGAGTCATGTAACCATGGAGATTGGACGAGGGGTCGTGCCACCATGGTGATTAGCTTAAGAAGGGCAATCAAGGAAGTTGAGTAATCCATGGAGGTAGGCTTTAAGAGGTACAACCATGCAGGTTGGTTTTAAGAAGTGCAACCTAGGAGGTTTGCTTAAGGGATGCGACCGTGGAGGTTGGCTTAAGGGATGCAACAATGGAGGTTAGCTTTGGGAGGTTCAACCAAGGAGGTTGGCTTAAGGG